TGTAGCAGTGAGGCACCACTAAGACTATTTGGGGCTATAATGGAAAAAAGCGCAAAGTCAAATAGCAGTCCAATTTAAATATGTATAAATATTCAAAAAAAGAAAAATTAAAGAAAAATCTAGAAATTCTAGAAATGCATAGTTGATGGTATATAGAGATCCTATGCATGAAATAGACATGTAACAATCACATAATATTAACAAAAGTATTGTACAGAATGAAAAGGCGTACATGTTTATCAAAATGACCGTTATTTGTCTCAATCTTTCAACTTTCAAGTCTCTAATAGAAAAATTTTCAACAATAGAAAAACATTGATTAGTAGTAACACGATTGTATTAACTATTTGAAACTTGACATAAAAATGAAGCCTTCAGGCTAGCTAAATGGCAATATTTACCACTATTTACCGCTATTTGCTTCTATTTATCGCTATTTTGTGCTTTCGAGTGCTTTGGCGAGCAAAACACTCTCACGAGGGCTATTGTTCACAGCAATCAATGAAATCATAGCCATAGCGACCGCTACTTCTATTTGCGCCACAATAGCGCCACTATCGACTGCTATTTACAGTAGTGGCAATAGTTATAGCCTTCATATCTATTAAGCATTTTGCTATGTCTATGAAGGTCCAAATTTGTATGAATAGATGAAGGTGTTCTATGAAAAACATGAGGCTGGTCCAGGCAACTATATTGCAGAAAGCCATCTAGGTTGTCGATTAAGAAAAATAGGTTGAAGGCAAACCACTATAGGGCAATTTAGGTGGCTGACTAGGTCATTTTTTATGACAGTGGAAAAAGTTTACAAGTTTTAAGCTAAAGAAGTAAAACAGTTACTTCGCATATTTAATTCTTATTTACTAATCAAGACAAATTTATCTATTTGTAAATTATTATTTCACTATATATTATATGTTCATAATATTTATAAATCTTAAAATTAAAATATACTAACTCATGAGGCGTAATGTTCATAATATTTATAAATCTTAAAATTAAAATATATTAACTCATGAGGCTTACGCCTCACACTTTGAAGGTTACATCTCGCTTCATAAAAGGGTCTAACATTTTTCCTTGTACTTTCGCCTTTTTTAACATTGCATTTTACCAACTATATAATTTAGCCTACTGGTGAAGAATTCCACCTTAGAATATAATTAACTAGATAGCCTCATTAAAAAAAACTTAAAATGTGTATGCTTTTATATTACGAATAGAAGTACAAATTCATTTGAAACAAACCAACATAATGTGTCAATAACTTACGTTTTCAAGATGATAAAATAATCCTACTAGATGTCTCTCCTATGCAAAACCTAATCATTTCGGTCGATATGCTACATCCATTCTCCTGACATATAGGTTATATAACTCATACATTATTTTGTTAATTCAAAACAATAAAACCGTAGCGAGATGCCTTTCATTCCATCATGCCTTGATTCCTACGATATTCATTGATCTAGAACTATCATCACTTTGAACAAAGAAACTACCCATTTCATCCATCTCTCAACAAACTGGTAGCAACTTTACTAACTTTATACTAGTTATTTGCTATCATTTCAAATTAAAATCACAAAACACACAATTTGGCAGCCTTTTCCACGTCTCCAAATTACAAAATGTCATTTCCATCTTCCTCATGGGAAAAGTTGTAATAAAAACAGGGTTTTGGACACTTCCATACATGAGATCTTTGTACTTCATCAAAAGTTCAGCTACAACCTTTACTAGCCCATCAAATGAACGTCGCACTCAAAATTTCTGATCTCAGAAATTATCTTCACAGACCCCACAATTTCCAATCTCAGAAGTAAAATACCTCTGGGTATCATCAAATTCAAATAATAATAATAATAATAATAATAATAATAAACGATAAATATCTCATCATTCTCAAAGATGAAAAAAAAAATCTCTATGTGTTATCAAAAGCACTTGCTGAAAATTTTCGATACGATTTTATTCTATTGATCCAGAAAATTTCATGCATCGTATACATATGAGCTGATCAAAAAACCCTATGATCTGTAAAAGGTATCGACCAGAAAAATCAATAATGCCGATTTAGAAACTAGAGAGCCCAAATCAAGAATTGAGAAAATTTTCAGAGACTTACGCGTGAGATCTGAAGCTAAGAGGACCGCGAGAGGAGGGGGGAAAAATCCGACTTTGTTTAATTCGCAGTTTTTTTTTAAAAGAAACGAGGAAGTTTTTACACAAGAAATAGCTAATGGTTCTTAGTTATGAAGCGGGTTTTGTCCGATTAATTCCAACCCGTTAAACTAATCGGGTTGATTTGATGCGAATAGGAGCACCGACCCGCCAGCTCCATGTGCTCGATTGATAATGGGCGTCTTTCTCCTGTTTTCTTTGTTAGGTCTCATGTTATGAGCCTACATTTTCTAATCTTATTTTGATGATTACAAACAATTCCTAATATTGTTTGTCTAGTGTTTATGTTTTCTTATTAGGTATTTTAGACAAACAATAAGTGTTGGCGGTTGGATGGATTGCGTCATAACGATCATATCAAATGGAGGTTGGCGAATATTGTGGAGTGAAGCCTATGCATACTAGTCAAGATCCAAGTTCAAGCTTCTTCCATGTTTACCAAGATGTGGAGTGAAGCCTATGCATACTAGTCAAGATCCAAGTTCAAGCTTCTTCCATGTTTACCAAGACAATATACAATGAAGATCTATCAAGCTTGTGTAAATTAAGTTTAGGGTTTATATAATGTGTGTTAATTCTATAAGCTTAAATATACACACACATTTCATTTGTGAATTTTCTCAAATATAGGTGTTTTTATGCAAAATATATTTTAATATGCTTTGGACTATACAAACATTATTAACATCTTTTATTATGTCCATATAAACATTACACAAGTTTTTAAAACTTGATTTGAGCTAAATGACAAAATCAACATGTTTATAAACACATGTATTTTAGTGTTTTTAAATATTTCTGAGATTTCACAAATGGTAAGAGCAAATTCAAAAATTCCTTTTCCAACATGTTCATAATCATGTTTATAAATTTTTCCCAAAGTTTTATTTTTTTAGAATTTATTTGCTATTTTTAAAAGGACTTTAAAATTCATTTTTAAAAATCATTTCAGGTTGATAACCTATTATCAGTCGACTGATCAGTCGACTGATGACATCAGTCGACCGATCAGTCAACTGGAGAATGTGCCTAGAATCATTGAAAAGTTTCTATTTTGTTTTTGTCGACTGACCAGTCGACTGATGATCCATCAGTCGACTGATAAAGGTCGTCAGTCGACTGATGAGCTGGTAAATGTCTATAATGGTCAGCTCATCAGTCGACTGAAGAAACCCGCTAGTCGACTGACGGCCCAACGGTTAGTTTTTCCAGCCTTATAATCTTTTGTCTTTTTGTTGGATTTGTTTGGGTTTTGTGTCTTGGTTTTTCTTCCTATATAAACACATATTGTTCTCATCGGAATTAAGTTTTCAAGAGGGTTTTTAACAAGATTTTTAAGTGTTTAAAAGTTTGTTTCTCAAATTTAGGTTTGGTGTTTGAGTTTACAAAGAGGAGGCTTGCATTTTTAATTGAGGAATTCATCCTCAACCTTCTTCAACCTCTTTGTGTTTATAGAGAAAATTTTCTAACTCTTTTCTCTAGCAATTTTATTATTGATTTTCATATTCTTATAATTGCTAGTTTGCTAATTGAGTTAGATTTTATTTATACTCATTTTATCACACACATCCTATTTGAGCTTGTACCATTTCATACATTATATATTGGGTTGTGGGTTTGTGATTTGTGAGATTGAGCTTACATTGAGTTCTCATCCAATTAGAGAACATTTTATTATAATTGAGCTTTAATTGTGAAGTTATACTTTATAATACACTTGTATACCGAGAGAAGTGTATGGTGAGAGACGAGGTCGTCCCAAGAGGAGTGGGGTAGGTGGTAATGCCTAGAGGTAGGTTGTAATTCCTAACACTTGAGGAAGACACGGGCTAGAGACCAATACTTGATGTGGTAGTTAGTGTAGTTACATTGCGAGTGATTGTGAATGTTGATCGGTGAGTGTTGAAAACCGACATTGTAAGGTGTAAACGTTTTTCGGGTAAGCGTAGAAAACCCGGTGTGATAGTGGAGATCTCCTCAAGGTGAGGAGTGGAGACGTAGGTCGTGAGGACTGAACTTCGTGATCATATCTTGTGTTTGAGTTTGGCTTGGCGCGTTTATATTTTTGTTCATCTTTATTGTCATTCTCTCATTGTTTATTTTATCCACTATATTGTCTATATTTATATTGCCCTTGTTTAGTTTAATATCCTTGCATATATATTGTTCATATCTCATTTGCTAGGATACATTTGTTAATAAGTTTTTAATTGGCATAAATCGGATTAGATTAGCATAAACTCTATTCACCTCTCTTTAGGGTTCCTTCCTAGTAGCATTAGGGTACTTTCAATTGGTATCAGAGCTTGGCGCTCTTGATTTAAGGTTTAACCGCATTGAGTTAACGGTCCAAGCTTTAATATTGTTGCTAATCTTGTTTTGATATTATTTAATTTGCCTGCTCATATATTATGGATATGTTTGGTGTAGGGTATGATATAAATGTTGCTCCTAGATATAGTAACTTCCCTTATGAACAAATGGTGTTGTAGATTCAAATTTTTTGTTGAGTCTAGAAACATAGATTTATAAAAAGTTATTGACAATGCTTATATTGTGCTCACTTCGGAGAAATCCAAGTGGAGCAAACATGACAAGAAAATGTTTACTATGAACAAGTTAGTGTTAGAATTTATGCATAATGCTTTAGGTCCATGTATTTCTAACGAACTTGCTCATTTTGATAGTGCTATACAATTTAGAAATTATTTGAAGCACATCAAGGGAACTTGGAGGCGATCCGACGATCTTTGGCGGTTCCCTCTTCAAGGGCGATAGCCCTAGTGAGGTATGCGAGTCCGATAACGAAAATGATCTTATTATTGATGAACTCGCACATGGTTATGAATTGTTGATGCATGAGTATAAGAAATTGCAACGTAGCTATATTAATATGAAAACCAAGCATGTCGAAATGAAATCCTCTCATAAAACACTAGCCACTAAGTTTGATCTCATTACAAAAGAAAATAAAAATATTAAAGAATACAATAAAAAATTAAAATTGGAAAATGCTAGTTTGTTTCATGCTAAATGTGATGCTATATTAGAAGTTGAGAACATTAGAAAAGAGCTTACTTCTTTCAAAATTGATCATGCATGTTCTACTTCTAATAACAATGCTTATGTAAAAAATGATGAGTTGAATCAAGTTAGAAATAGAATATCCACTTTAGATTCAACATTAAAAACTTGCATTTTTAATAACAACAAGCTTATGGACTTGCGTGCAAAGTCTCACAAAAATGTTTCCAAGAAACTTATACACTATGCACACAAGTATAACAAAATTTATAAGTGTTCAATGTGCGGCCGTAAATATCATATTGCTAAATTTTGTTATAATGCACAAAAGCCTAATAAGCCTAATCATGTTTGTGCATTCCATCAAGCTTCTCCATCTCATACACATGTACACACACATAGTGATAATCATAAACATGCTCATGTGTATATGTGTGAATTTTGTGGTCGTTTTGGTCATTTGGACAAGTATTATTTCGATTTAAAAAGGAATTCTCTCTTTCCAAATGATTCTAAAGTACCACATGTGTTTACTTGCAATGTTTGTGGTAGATTTGGACATCTTGTAAAATTTTGTTATAATTTGTAAAAATCTTCTAAGTTGCAAAATGTTCCAAATAGACCATTGTTTAAAAATGTTTCGCATTTGCAAAAAGTTTCAAATAATTCACTTTTGTTTGCAAATGTTCCACGTGCACATCCACATGGTCAACATAATAAATGCATCCTCTTCATTGCGCTTATTGCAATCGAATGAGTCATTTGCATAATTATTGCTATGACTGGATCCGTGCACAAAATGTGCCCAAAAGGGATCATAATCCTAGGGCTTTAAACTTTAATGATAGGGGTCATGTCCCTAGACTCTTCGGTACCAAGAGTAATTGGGTACCAAAACATGTTTAATCTTTAAGAACGGATTCTTTAGCTTTTTAGTTTTTCATGTTCTTAAAGATGATTTCTAATTAAGTTTTATAAACAAAATTGAAAATAATTTTATACTTGGTATTTGATTTGAAAAGTTATCATTCATAATTTTTTTTCATGATTCTCTTTCATAGACTTTCATGTTTTATCCTTTATGAATTGATACAATTTTTATCAAGATGATTTTTTTTAAAACATCATTTTTTTGTTAGTATACCTTGTTTTCAATTTTTAAGCTTGAACAATGTGTTTGTATTTATGGGATCATTATGAAACACTCTTATGATGATTTTTATGTGTTTGAGCTTCCGGATCATCTAATTGTTGTTTATAATGTATTCCTTATATGGTTTGATCAAGTTTTACAAAAAGGATTTCTTTTATTGATCAAACACTTTTTAGATATATATACTTTGTTTTGTATTTGCATAGTGAGAGATTATATGTTTGAGCAACACCCGGGAGGTTTACCGGATGCTAAAAGCTTTATTTGGGTTGAAACTTATTTTAAGAGCTTGTTATGCTCACCTCTCTTGTTTTTGCCGAAATTGATACAATATATACACTTTGAATTTCTTTTAGTATCATTTGAGGCTTTTATTTGAACCTTCATGAGGTTCATAATTTCATTTTTTTGATTTCATGATCTACTTTTGTTTATATCCAAATAATTTTTTACGATTGGATATTGAGACACCTTTTATATGTCTATTTGTGCTCTCAATCAATCATGTTTTATGGTGGATAATTTGTAAAAAAAATTTAAATCATTTAACGTTTGATTTTCTTTTACTTTTTTAAAATATTTTAGGTTTTATGTTTTAGACTCTTGTGGCACCTTATCTTCATGATACATGCATATGTGTTCACTTGGTCTATCTTTGTATGTGAGTTGTGTTTAGCATATCTTACATTTATGCTTACTCACATGGTTGCCATGATTTTTATTGCATATATTCTTTATGGTATTTTGATAGGGGGAGCAATCCCTATATCTTTTTTTTTTTCTTTTTTTTTTGTTTATACTCACTAATGCTTTAAGATAGGGGAGCTTTCGC